ATAAATGAGTTTCTCACATTTAGTTTTTCACGCTAAATCTGAAATAGACCGTTTTTTTCGATTCAAAAGAAATGAAAAAATCAAAAATTTGTCGATAATCGAAAATTAATCTATTTTTCACAAAACAGCAGGTTATCTAAAAATAAATTGAAAATATTCCCATAAAGAAAAAATCATTCAAAGAAATTGACAATGCACATCTGCTTGATCAACTTATCATTCTCCATCTGAAGATATAGAAACAAAAGAAAGTTTCTATTTTAATTTTCCATTTCCGATACCATACTTACAGCATTTTAAATCCATGTACAACAGCTTCAGCAAAATAATATTCAAAAAACGGATGTTTGAGACATTCATCAAGTTTTGGATAACCTGTATCAGGTTCTCGTGTCATATTAGGAGCAATCGGAAATGGAAATTCTTTAACTGTTGAATCGCCTAATTTTTGTGCTATCCAATCAGGTACACCTTCACCACAAAAGTATCTTGAGAAAACATCTTGATGACAATCAAGTAATGCATAAATGCCTTTATTTTCCATCATTTGTATAGCTGTTGATAATTGTGAAAGATAGTCTTGATTAATATTATCATCTGATTTTGGATTTACACCCATCCATGATGTATAAAAACGAATAACATTAAAACCCCATTGATGTAAATTATTTAAATCATCATCCGTTAAAGAATTTTGTGGATCAAAATGAGTTAAATCTGGTAGATAAGGTGGAACTTTATAAACAACATTAACACCATGAAATATACGTACACGACCATATTCATCAATAAAATGTTGAGTATTTAGATCAACTTTAATACGCGATAATTCACTATGACTACGAACAATAAAAAAACTGAAAAAGAACAGATGAGTGATATGCAGCATTTTGGTTTTAACATATACGTAGAACAGTAGTATTTATATCTATTATTACATATACATATGGTATTTATTCTCATATCATGTACATGCTCGTCTGAGTATATAAAATGTTTTATAAAGAATGAAATAAATAATAAAAACATCTGTGGAACATAGCTATGCATCTAGATCAACAAATATTTTATTGGCTATTTTCTTTTTCTTTATTATTTATTCTAGTTGATTATCATCATCATTTTCTTCTTCTTCAAATAATTTTGTTTGAATTTCTTGTTGTTGAATTTGACGTTTAAGCATTTTTTCTTGACGCATTTTCATAGCAAATTCCAAAGCTATTTGAGCATTTTTATCAATAATATTATTCATATCTTGTTGCCATTTGTTTGTTATTTCTTGAAATTGTTGACGAAAAATTGTTTGTTGATAACAATTTGCATAATTTTCACGTATATAATTAATTAATTCAGTTTTTAATTTTTGTGAAGCAAAACTTGATTTAAGAGCGTTTTCATTTAGCCATTGCATCTACACAAGAATTAATTAATAGAAATTCTAATAACGAGTGATCGGAAAATTTGTAAACAAGATGTTTGTACACTTTTGACCCACAAGAAAATATATTCGACAAGTCAATAGCGATCAGTCTAAACCAGAATTTTCTGACCTTCTCGA